ATTTCTGTTTCCAATTTTTTTTTTTCCCATTTATTTATTTTATTGCATTTTAGGTTTTGGGGTACATGTGAAGAACATGCAAAATTGTTGCAATTTTTATTTTCTTTATTTATTTTTGAGACAGAATCTCAGTCTGTCGCCCTGGCTGTAGCGCAGTGGCACAGTCCCAGCTCACTGCAATCTCTGCTGCCCGGGTTCAAGCGATTCTCCTGCCTCAGCCTCCTATGTAGCTGGGATTACAGGCGCATGGCAGCACACCCGGCTCATTTTTGTACTTTTAGTAGACACGGGGTTTCACCATCTTGGTCAGGCTGGTCTTGAACTCCTGACCTCGGCCTCCCAAAGTGCTGGGTTTACAGGCAAGAGCCACTGTGCCCCACCTCTTTTTATCTTGTTTTACCTTTTTGAGACAGTGCCTAACTCTTGCCTAGGCTGGAGTGCAGTCATGAGATCATGGCTCACTATTGTCTTAAGCCTCCCCCTTTGCCACCGGGCTCAAGTGATCCTCCCACATCAGAAGCCTTGTTAATGTTTAATTTTTTTGGTAGAGATGGGGTCTTGCTATATTGTGCAGGCTAGTCTCAAACTCCTGGCCTCAAGCGATCCTCCCGCCTCAGCCTCCCAAAGTGCTGGGATTCCAGGTGAGAACCACTGCACCTGGCTGCCTGTATATTTCTCTCTCTCTCTCTCTCTCTTTTTTCTTTTTTTTTTGAGATGGTCTCACTCTGTCGCCCAGGCTGGAGCGCAGTGGGGTAATCTCGGCTCACTGCAACCTCCGCCTCCTGGGCTCAGGTGATCCTCCCATTTCAGCCTCCCAAGTATCTGGGACCATTATGCACAGCTAATTTTTCTATTTTTGGTAGAGATGGGGTTTTGCCATGTTAGCCAGGCTGGTCTTGGACTCCTGGCCTCAAGTGATCCTCCTGCCTTGGCCTCCCAAAGTGCCACCGCACCCAGTCCAGCTCTTTTAAAAGCCTGCTAGCACCGAGCTCAAATTTTTACACATCAAATTGTTTTACACACAGCCCGAATAAGCAAAATGTTAGCCAGTGACAGCCTGTTTGCTTTGCAGACTTGTGAAACTGCACCCTGTGTCTCTGAGCCATGGATAAGACGAACCTTGTGGATTTCTTTCTTTTCTTTCTTTTTTTTTTTTGATACAGAGTCTCACACTGTTGCCCACGCTGTAGTGCAGTGGCGTGATCTTGGCTCACTGCAATCTCTGCCTCCTGAGTTCAAGCAATCCTCCTGCCTCCGCCTCCGGAGTAGCTGGGACTACAGGCGCATGCCACCACACCCAGCTAATTTTTTGTATTTTTAGTAGAGATGGGGTTTCACCATGTTGGCCAGGATGGTCTCGATCTCCTGACCTTGTGATCTGCCTGCCTCGCTCTCCCCCAGTGCTGAGATTACAGGTGTAAGCCACCGCCTCCAGCCAACCTTGTGATTTGAAGACCCTAAGTTGCGACTGCCCTGCAGGACTCTCTGACCCAGAGACTCATGTTCCTGCTGTAGAACATCACCTAGACACGTAAGCCCCCTCTCTGATCCCCCTCTCCCCCGGGAGTTCCCTTGCTGGCCTCTCCCTCTCGATGGTGGCTCCTGGAACCTCAGCCTCCAAAGGGCTTATGTTGTGAGGGACTTCCCTTGTATGCAAACCTGCCATTCAAAGCATCACCTAAATAAAGCTTACTGCGCGCAACTCCCACTGGGTGGGCATCTATTTCCTTAATCGGCCGCCCCCCCAGCTCCACGCTTGATCTAGCCCACCAGACCTCAGGGAGGGCAGGGCCAGAGTGGCTTGGGGCGGGGCCTCTGAGGTGGGGTCAGGGCCTTTCAGAAGGCCCACGTGTCAAGCCCCTAGAATGCCCTATACCTGGGGCAGGTAAAGGGCTGACTGGTGGACAGAGCACACGTGAGGCCGGGTCTCCACTTCCCACTCCAGGCCTCGGGTGGGCCTCTCTGCCCATTCAATGGTGAATGTGTGAGGCCTCCTGAGGTGGGACGGGGATGCAGGAACTGCCTGGGCCTCAACCATCTCCTCTGGCAGCTGTGAAATGGGTCTATGCAGGACTCACCCATAGGCTCCGTTGCTAATGAGTTTGATGGTCTCAAAGTCGCTCTCGCATGGCTTCCTCCGTGACTGCCCGACCAGGGTGCGGCTCTGGGGGACGAGAAGTGCTGAAAGTCCTGCCCCACTGCAGAGCTGGCCTGGCTCCTGCCCCCAAGCCCAAACCTCTGGTCCTGGTGCCCGATGCTACCTCCTCCCCTGTCCAAACTTTTCCAACTCAGCTGCTGACTTTCTGTACTTTTTTTGCTCACAGCTGTGCCCTCCTCCTGGAAAACTCTTACGCATCCTGCAAAACTCACCTTCCCGGTGCCCCCCCCACCCGACCTCCAAGGCAGGGCAGTCCCATGTGCCTTGCCTCCAAAGTCACACAAGCTAATTAGCCTACATGTAAGACCTCGGCAAACCCAGCCCTTTCTTCGGATGCCCGGTCCACTCTGGAAAGAACAAGATGGGTGGGGGACCGCAGGCTCTGCGACTCACCTCCGGGGACTCAGGTGCTGGGGGCTGTTCTTCTTCGAGGTGACTCAGTGGCACCATCTCTGCAAGATGAAGGAGGAGCCTCAGCTGGAGCTTCCCACCTCACCCTGCATCACCCGGCAATTTCCTGAGACCTCTAGAGTTGCGGTGCCTCCCCTGGCCAGCTCCCACGACACTGTCATGAAGCCACACCTGGGAGGCTGGATGAAGCAGTGACTGAGGAACCCTCTAGAAGGGCCAGTGGGCTGCCCCGGCTCCAAAGTGTTCAATCATGATCAAACTCAGGCTCTGAGCCTGGAGCCCAGAGGTCTGAACACAGATGTGACACAGGTCCCCTGGGTGTCAGCTCCAACATCTTCCTCAGCCCAGGTGGAGGGTCCAGTACGTTCTGGCCCCAGGCCTTGGCAGAGGGGCAGCCCTAGTGAATGCCCAGCCAACACGGTCCAGACACAGACCACAGGTGACCTGGCCTCAGACACACCTGGGTTGGCTTCCCTGCTCAGCCTCATCTGCCTGGAGCCTCAGTTTCCCCCGCTTTATTTTTTATTAGTATGATTATGTATTTTATTTATCTATTTATTTTTTTGAAATGGAGTCTTGCTCTGTCACCCAGGCTGGAGTGCAGTGGTGCGATCTCGGCTCACTGCAACCTCCGCCTCCTGGGTTCCAGCGATTTTCCTGTCTCAGCCTCCCGAGTAGCTGGGATTATAGGCATGCGCCACCACGCCCAGCTAATTTTTGTATTTGTATTATCTTTTCTGTTTTTCTTTTTTTTTTGCTTTTAAAATTTTTTATTATTATTATTTTTGAGGCAGAGTCTCACTCTGTTGCCCAGGCTGGAGTGCAGCGGCACGATCTCGGCTCACTGCAACCTCTGCCTGCCGGCTTCAAGCGATTCTCCTGTCCCAGTCTCCTGCGTAGCTGGGATTACAGGCACGTGCCACCATGCCCAGCTAATTTTTGCATTTGTATTTATATTATTATTATATTTTGAGACAGAGTCTCACTCTGTCGCCCAGGCTGGAGTGCAGTGGTGCGATCTTGGCTCACTGCAAACTCCACCTCCCGAGTTCAAGGGATTCTCCTGCCTCAGCCTCCTGAGTAGCTGGGACTACAGGCGCACACCACCACACCCAACTAATTTTTGTATTTTTAGTAGAGATGGGGTTTCACCATGTTGGCCAGGCTAGTCTTGAACTCCTGATTCTAGGTGATCCGCCTGCCTTGGCCTTCCAAAGTGCTGGGATTACAGGTGTGAGCCACTGCACCCAGCCTAATTTTTGTATTTTTGGTAGAGACGGGTTTCACCGTGTTGGCCAGGCTGGTCTCCACTCCTGACCTCAGGTGATCCGCCCACCTCTGCCTCTCAAAGTGCTGGGATTACAGACATAAATCCCCAGGCTCGGCTGAGTTTGATTATTCTAGAGACAGGCTCTTGCTCTGTCACCCAGGCTGGAGTGCAGTGGCGCCATCATGGCTCATTGCAGCTTCAGCCTCCTAGACTCAAGTGATCCTCCCACCTCAGCCTCCCGTGTAGCTGGGACTACAGGCATGCACCACCACACCTGGCTAATTTTTAAAAATACTTTTTGTAGAGATGGGGTCTTGCTATGTTGCCCAGGCTGGAGTGCAATGGTGTGAACATGGCTCACTGCAGCCTCAAACCCCTGGGCTCAAGCAGTCTTCCCACCTCAGCCCCCCGAGTAGCTATGACTACAGGTATGTCCCATCACGCCTGGCTAACGTTTTTTTAAAAATAGAGGCAGGGTCTCACTATGTTGCCCAGGCTGGTCTCAAACTCCTGGCTTCAAGTGATTCTCCTGCACTGGCCTCCCGCAGTGCTGGGATTACAAGTGTAAGCCACTGAGCCTGGCCTCCCCAGCTTTAAATGGGGACAGTGGCAGGCCAGTCCCACTCCAGGTATGGTCCAGCCTCGGGGTCTGTGCTGAGGCCGGTGCCCTGCCTGCTTCACTCTCTCCTTTGGGTCCGCACCTGGTCACCTCCTGTGCTCCAGGCTTCAGTCTGAACACTGCCTCCCCGCCGAGCCTCCCCCGACGACTGCAGGACCAGGCTGGGTCCAAGTTCAATGCTCCAGTTTTGGTTCCTCTTATCCTGGCTATTTGTGGAGACTGTGTTTTGTTTTTCCTTTCTCTTTTTGAGACAGGGTCTGGCTTTGTCACCCAGGCTGGGGGACAGTGGTGTGATCACGGCTCTCTGCAGTCTCAACCTGCCAAGTTCCAGTGATCTTCCCACCTTAGCCCCCCCAAGTAGCTGGGACTACAGGTGTGCACGACCACACCCAGCTACATTTTTTTTTCAAACGTAGGCTTGGTTTGTCAGCCTGATCTCAGCTCACTGCAACCTCCACCTCCTGGGTTCAAGCGATTCTCCTGCCTCAGTCTCCCGAGTGGCTGGGAGTACAGGCATGCGCCACTACACTTGGCTAATTTTGTGTTTTTAGTGAAGACGGGGTTTCACCATGTTGGCCAGACTGGTCTTGAACTCCCGGCCTCAAGTGATCCACCCGCCTCGGCCTCCCAAAGTGCTGGGATTCCAGGCGTGAGCCGCGGCGCCTGGCCTCCATCTGGCCTTCCCAGCCTTGCCTTCCTCTTCCCATCCCGGCTTACCCTCCAGGGGGTCCTTGGCCAGGCCCAGTTGCCCGATGATGTACTGTGGAAGGTCAGTCTTGATGCCTTGGCCCTCCCGCGCATGGCCCTCGGCCGCCTCCAGCAGGTGGTAAAACTCCTCCGGGTCAAACTCCTAGGGGCACAGGAGGGCTGGTCACCCAGGGCTTGGTTCCATCTGCAGGCCTTTGCACATGCTGTTCCCTCTGCCTGGAGCACCCTTCCCGGCAGTTGCTGCTCACCCACTGGGTCTCCGCTCCCGACCCCTCCTCGGGGAAGCCCACGCTAGCCCGGCAGCACCCCCCACGCCCCTCAAAGCCCTCCACGATGGGAACTGTCACTTGTATCTCGGCAGGACTGTCACGGGCCCAGTCTCAGTCCTGCCCGGACCCCACACCGGCCATACAAAAAGAAACTTACCAGACACTCCAGCAGCCGAGCCGGCCGCGAGATGATGATCAGCAGTTTCCGGACAAGCTGGACGATGAAACCGACCTCCTCACTGTCTGAGCGCTCGTGGGCCTGGGGGAGGTGGGTCGTGGCGTCAAGCCCTCAGCTCCGTCTGGCCTGGGGTCCCCCCTTGCCCCACATCTCACTACCCGCAAAAACCCCAACACGCCAAAAACCACCCACATCCTGCAGAAGCCGCTCCAGCTTGTCCTGCATCTCTAGGAAGTAGCGGGAGGTGACAAGGTTCTCGCCAGACTTGGCCAGGCAGTCTCGGGCCAGCTCGACGATCTGGTGGTGGATGAAGCCCAGGACGCCATCAGCCAGCGCCAGCCGGGCGCCGGGCGCGTAGGCCGTCAGGAACTCCTGCAGACGGCCCTCCATCTGCGCTGTGGCCTGGGTGGGGTGAGACGGGGCGACCTGGTCAGAGGGCGGGGCTGGAGTGACACACACGGAAGGGGCAGGAGGGGCACGGCTGGGGAGAGAGGAGATGGGGCGATGGGGGCGATGGGATGGGAGGGCTGGAGCAGGAGGAATGACATCTTTCAATGGAAGGGGAGGGAAAGATGGGCATGAACGCAAGGGGGGCACAGCCAGGAAGACAGAGTGCCACGGAGAGACAGCAACGTGGAGAGAAGCACGGGGCTGGTCCAGCCGCCAGGCACTGCCCACCTTGGGGAACCTCTCCCGGTACACGTGATTCATCATGACGATCTCATTGTCGAAGGTCCCCGTCGCGCGGCCCGGGCTGAAAGGAAGATGGCTGCTTGTGATATGGGACCTGAGACCAACCCCCGGGGGAGGCTGTAGGGGGGCTCTGAGCCAGGGCCGAGGGACAAGAGTCAGAGGCGAGGCGCAGGTAGGGTCAGGGCCGGGATGGAGGACGAGCCACCACTTGGGCCTCCAAGCCAGCCCAGGGAGAGGCCGGGCCTGGGGCCAGGGGTCAGAACCCACCTGAGACTGCGGGAGCGGGGGCGGAGGCGGGGTGACCGGCCGCCTTCCTCATCAAGCACATTCTCTGAGCTGCGGAAGTGCTTGGACAGGAAATGCAGCTCGTCCGGCGTCGGCTGGAAGGGAAGCTGGTGGAGACGTTCCCGGGAGGATGAGCTTGACTAGCAGGGAGCAGTGGGGATCAGAGCCATGAGTTCACTGTCAGTGCTTGGACTGGGACCCCAGCACCACCCCTCAAGGCCCAGGCTGCCTGCTGGCCAACAGATGGTAACATTCTTTCTCCTGCCTAGCTCCTATGCATCCCTCAAAACCCTACCTCTGATGCCTCCTCCTCCAGGAAGCCCTCCCTGCCTATACCCCTGGGCAGCCCCAAGTTCCCCTCTGGCCAAGCCCTTACGCCATAGGCTGGGGATATCTGTATCCCCCTGACCGGAGGCTATTTTGGGGCCAAGGCTGGGTCTTCTCAGGGGCCCCTGCATTTCCCCAAATGAGGCATGGAGGAAGTAGCTAGAATGTTTGCTGACTGTACAACTATCCAACACCTTGAAAAAAACCCCACAAGGATGTGTCCCCCCACAACCCGGCATCTGCCTGTCCGCCCGCCAAGCTGGGGCTATGGGTACCGAGAGGGTGGAGCTGGGTGTGTTGGTTCCATAGCCGGAAGATGGGAGGGACGCGAGGGACCATCTTCTGCCGTCTGCCCTGGAGAGGGGAACAAGAACATATCGAAGGAAGGCCCGGCCCCTGTGGTTTGCAGGGACCAACAGCAGACACTGTGGCCAGTATATGTTGTAGGAAGGACTTCTTGAAAAACAGCAAGAACATAGACACAGCCTGACCAAGTCCACTGTACGCTCTCTCTCTTCAGGCACCTGTTCCATGAAGCCCCCCGGGACTTCAGCTGCCACTGTGTCCCTTTGTCAAAGCTTCAACCTCTGACTTGTAGCTTCTGGCGCACACACTGGCTGCCCCCACCAAACAGAGGACTCCCCAGGGGCCAAGGGCAGGCCACCCATTTGCCACCATGCCCTCAGCCCCTAGCACAGAGCAAGCACACAGCAGGAGCTTAACGAATGTTGTTGTATGAATACATGAAATGCAAGCCTCTTGCCACATGACAGGTGCTCAATCAGCTCTTGTTAAGTGAATGAATGAATGATTTCTTTAAGGAGTTAATGATTCTTAGACAGGGCTATATCCCCCCACGACCCCCCACCCCCTGGGCTGGTTGAAATTACCTGTCCGTGCGTGGGACGTGGCTGCAAAATGTCATGCATGGTAGGGATGGGAGCCAGAGGGGGAGACCACCACCAGACGGGCCAGGGAGGGGAAAAGGTGAATGAAATGAATGAGGAGCCAGGTCTAGCCACTGAGCACGTACCCCTGCCCAGCCCCTGCCCGTGATGCCCGCGCTGTCTCCCAAAGGCGGCAATCACTCACCTCCGGGCAAAGGGGAAGTTGAGGGCAGAGGCAGCCGAGAAGTTCCGAGGACTATCCAAGGGGCTGCTGCCTGCTGAGGAGGAGGCGGGGAAACTGAGTCAGCGGGGCAGAGGCAGGACACAGCGTCCGCTGGCTGCTCCCACACTCACCCGTTGGGACCGACAGTGGCGACAGGGGCCGGGAGAGTGTCGGGGAGGGCGTTCCTACCACCAAGCTCTTGCGGTTCCCACTGCGGCAGCTGTTGGGGGAGAAGGGGACAGGCTCAGGGGGCTGCCCAGGCCCCTGTGCTAAGAGGACCACGTGCCAAGCCTAAATCACACAGGCAGCCCCCTCTGGAGCAGGATAGGACGTTGGACGTGACCACGCCCACTCTGCCCCCAGCTGGGTTCCGCCATGGCCCTTAGCCAGGTCCGGCAGGGAGTCACCCCTTAACTAACATTCCTTGCTATTGAAGCTGGCCAGGCATGGTGGCTCATGCCTGTAATCCCAGTGCTTTGCGAGGCCAAGGTGGGAGGATCCTCTGAAGTGAGGAGTTCAAGACCAGCCTGGGCAACAAGCAAGACCCCATCTCTATACAAAATTTAAAAATTAGCTGGGCGAGGTGGTACACACTTGTAGTTCCAGCTGCTCAGGAGGCTGAGGCAAGAGGATCGCTTGAGCCCCAGGAGGTCGAGGCTGCAGCGAGCCATGATCATGCCACTGCACTCCAGCCTAGGTGACAGAACAAGACCCCGTCTCTTAAAAAAACAAAAACAAGGCTGGGCATGGTGGCTCACACCTATAATCCCAGTACTTTGGGAGGCCGAGGAGGGTGGATCACCTGAGGTCGGGGGTTTGAGAACAGCCTGGCCAACATGGAGAAACCCCATCTCTACTAAAAATACAAAAGTAGCCAGGTGTGGTGGTGACATGCCTGTAATCCCAGCTACTTGGGAGGCTGAGGAAGGAGAATCGCTTGAACCCAGGAGGCAGAGATTGCAGTGAGCTGAGATCGTGCCACTGCACTCCAGCCTGGGCGACACGAGTGAAACTCCGTCTCAAAAACAAAAACAAACTATCGGCAGTGTTGTTAACAGCAAGGGCACGAAGGGCTTCTCACCTGACAGTGGACACTCCATATGGCCAGGAGCCCCTGCCCATTTTTCAGGGTTCTGTGTTACAGTCCCAACCCACAGCACTGGCAAATCGAGGGGGCCACACCCTGGAGCCCAGAGATGAGCTGAGACACCCCATTCTACCCACCCCTCCTGAAGCCTCTGCCCTCATCTCGACAACCCTCCTTTTTCCCAAGATGCCCCTACAATGCCAATGCGACCCAACTAAAACCCTAAGTGCCACCTCGTGCACAGCCCACGTGTTTTCCTCCTTCCATCCTGGTTCCTGTCTGGCCACCAGACCCCTGGCCCGGGTCTTTCACACTCACGCCCTGCCTGGCCTCTTTTCCCACCTGGGCCCTGGCCCCAGCCCACACCTTGACAGAAGGAAGCTGGGAGCGACACCGTCCCCCGCCGCAGCAGAGCAGTCACCCAGCAACAGCTCTGCTCGACAAGAGCATCAGCCCACACACCCCAAGCTGCCAACGCAGCTCAGCGGCGGGAGAACCTCACAGGGAGGGAGAGAGGTGCACCTCCGTGCCTCCGAGGTACAGAAATGGGGGTCCCCGGCAGAATGCAGGTCAAGCCACGGGAGAATCAGCGTGCGATCATCAAGGAACACAGGTGACAAGGTGGGCAGGGAGAAGAGGCCCAGCCTGTCTATGTCTCCACCTATGGCTGGGCCTTGAGCCTGTTTCCCCATCTCTGTACCTTGAAGGATGAAACCAACATGCAGTGCTCAGCTTTGGGCTGGACTCGGGTGCATATGTGGCTGTCTCTGCCTGGCCATGGCTCACAGGGCCTGACTCACGCCAGGAGTGCAGGCAGTGCCTCCTGAGTGAATTCCATCCCCAACATGTACCAATCCCAACAAGCCCCAGAGTTGCGAGAGACTGGCTGGGCCCATTTCCCCGACTGGGAAACTGAGGCCACAGATGTCAACAGCCACAGTGATGGTCTCCCAGCCTGAGCTGCAGAAGCAAAAGTGAAACCCGCAGGCTCCTGCAAAGCTTCCTGCCAACCCCCCAGTGCACGCTTACCTGCCTGTCTGCACATCCTCTCCCAGGCCTCACCTGGGTCCTCGCCCCCACACTGCACCACCAGCACCCTCCCTCTCCCATCCTGCTCTATCACTTGCCGCTTCCAGAAGCATCTGGGAAAAACACTGAGTCGCCCTCCCTCCTGTTCTAGGGTGAGGTCTTCTTGAAAACACGGCCAAATGTGAGGCCTCAAAGGAGAACCAGGATCATCAGTTCACTTGCCAGGCATCTATGCGGGGCCGACTGTTTGCCCAACTCTTGTTGCCATTTGAGAACCATCTTCTCTTGATGCCCAGGACACAACAGACAGAATGTGGCAGAGAGCAGGGGCTTGAAGCCAGCCAGCCTCCTGTCCCTCATCCCTCTAGCGCCCATATCCCTCCTCCAATGCTCCCCATGATCTTGGAGGGAAGTTTAAGCCCTGGACACAGCATTCAAGGTCTTTCAGTAGCTGGTCTCACTGCCCAGACTTTGCCCCAGTCCAGCACCAATAAGAAACCCAAGCACAGAGAGGTTAAGGAGCTACCTGAGGTCACACAGCCTGGTAGTGGCTGGGTGGAAATCTGAACCCAGGTCCGGCAGAATCCACAGCCCTCACTTAGCCTCTCTGCTTTTCAAAAGGGGAAACTGACACTCTAAGAGAGGTGAGGCTTTGGCGGGGGTTAACCCCAGCTATCTGGACTCCTGACACCCCACTCACATGCCAGCCTCGTGCAGTAAATATTTGCTTCTGAGCCAACATTTCTGCTGAATGGGCCCCCAGGGAAAGATCAGCCTGTTTTTCCAAGAAGTTCCTCCCAGGTTCTGCCCGGCCCTGGACACCCGGTTCGAATCTTAGCTCAGTCGCAACTCACTCCTGTCTCTCACCACCCCAGCTGCGTCGCTGGTAAACAGACACCCCAGTTCAAGGAATGAGGGGCGAGAGGAGGGTGCCAGGGACCCCAGGGGACACCTCGATCCACAGGCGTCCTCTCCCCTTCCCACTGCTGCCACACACAGACGCTCGCCGGGGCCCCCGCCACGCGGCCAGGACACACTTCTGGCAGCTCCTGTTTGCTCGGCCGGCCGCCGAGCCTTCGCCAGCGCCGTGCCCCCTACCTCTTGGAGCGCTGCAGCAGCGCGCCCTTGGCCAGGCGGCTGCGATGGCCGGGAGCCGCCACCGCCGTCCAGTAGCTGGGGTCGGACATGCTGCTTCCCTTTGTGCCGCCGCCGCCGCCCGAGGCCGGGAAGGCGCGGGGGCGCAGCCGGCGGCGGCGGGGCGCGAACCTCGGCGGCGGGATCGGCCCCGGGAGCCCCGCGGAGCCGGGCAGGGTTGGGGGCGCGCTGGGCTGCGGGGTTAGGGGGGCGGCGAGAAGGAAGCGCGCGCCCCCGAGCGCGGACGGGAACTCCGCCCAGGCGAGTGCGGGGGCGGGGCCTGCCGGGGGCGGGGCCTGCCGGGAGGCGGAGCGAGCGACGCGGAAGCGAGGCTGGCGGACCCCGAGCGGGCGAGTGGGCGGGGCGCTGCCAGGGCCGCGGGCGGAGAGGCGGAGCGTTGCTAGGGCCGCGGGCGGCAGAGGCGGGGCGTTGCTACGACCGCGGGCGGCGGGGGCGGGGCGTTGGCAGCTTTGGAGCCAGGGACAAGGCTTTTGGCTCCTTTCTGCCAACATGCTAATCTAATCACTCCCTCCCTCCTTTTCCTCTCTCCCGGGGCACTGACCCCTTCTCAGTGCGGCTCCCAAGACCCACCCAGCGTCCTGGCCCGGCTCATGCTACCACGCCCACCCTGATCCCACTACTGGGAATCCAGCTTGGCAAGACAGCGTCCCTTCCTCTGAAAAACCCTCTTTCGTGTCTGGCCGGCTCTGTCTTCCCCAGGTTGGGGGGCTCCTTGGGGTCCCAGCAGTTCCCAGCACCGGACTGGCACCGAGGGTGTGTTTGGCAAATTGAGTCGGGGCGTCTGACATGCTCAGCCTCTGTGTGGCGGGAAAGGCCATCAGCCCTGCCTCAGTCAGGAATCGGCCCCCTGATTCAATTGCAGCCTGTCTGAACTGTGAAAAGGGAGGAAAACTGGGCTGACATGAGGATTACACAAATCAGATGCAAGGGGGCTCTTCCAAGGGCAGCTGGTACATGCTCTATATCTGTATATCATTTATCTCTATAATCGATAGCATCAGGCTAACTTCCAGGCCTCTATTTCCCCATGTACAACATCCCCCATACTGAAAACAGAATAAACTCTGAGACACAGAGCCTGGTACTGGGCTGAGGGCACAATATGTGTTCACTGTGGAAGCCACTATGGAAGCAGAAGTGTCTCCCAAAGTAGGCACTGAATGAATGCTTCCTCCTGTCATGACAGTCCAGGGACGTCATGGGCAGTGTCATCAAGAGGGATGCCCCTTCCTGGGCCACAGGACACTTTGGGACCCAGTCCAGACCCAATACTGGAGCCCAGGCTTCATAGCTAAAGAGATGATTTTTTTTTGAGACAGAATTTTGCTCTTGTTGCCCAGGCTGCAGTGCAATGGCGTAGTTTCAGCTCACTGCAGTCTCCGCCTCTAGGGTTCAAGCGAGTCCCCTGCCTCAGCCTGGCAAGTAGCTGGGATTACAAGTATGAGCCAGCATGCCCAGCTTTCATCTGGCCTTTCCCAGCCTTGGTTTAAAACCAGCCTGGGTGAGGCCAAGTGTGGTGGTTCACACCTGTAATCCCAGCACAGGGATTGGGAGGCTGAAGCAGGTGGTTCGCCTGAGGCCAGGAGTTCAAGACCAGCCTGGGCAATGTGGCAAAACCCTGACTCTACTAAAAATACAAAAAATTAACCAGCCATGGTGGTGGGAGCCTGTAATCCCAGCTACTCAGGAGACTGAGGCAGGATGTTGCGGTGAGCCGAGATCATGCCACTGTACTCTACCCTGGGTGACAGGGCGAGACTCCATCTCAGAAAAACAAACAAACAGACAAACAAACAAAAAACACAACTGAGGAAACAGATAGCATGTTGCCACCTGGTGTGTACCCCTAACCCCGTCCATTCTTCTTCTCAAAGCTTTCCCAGACTCCCTGCCATATCCATCACCCGGTGTCCCTGACACCCGGTGCCACCACCAGGCACCCCTGACCTAGTGTGTATCTCTCTAGGAAGGCCCACAGGTTGCCCAGACCCAGGGCTCAAACACCCATATCTGGCATTCATTCACTCAACAAACACTTACTGATCACATACTATATGCCCACTCCAGTTCTGAACTCTGGAGACCCCGTAGGGATCAGGCCCATAAAACCCCTGTTCTCAGGGGCCCACCTAGTCCGGTGGGGGAGGCAGAGAGTAAACAGGATACAATTTTCTTTTTTTTTTTTTTTTGAGTGTTGTCACTGCACTGAGCCAACAGGAAGCAATTCAATGAGCAAGGTAATTTCGGCCAGACGCCGTGGCTCTCGCCTGTAATCCCAGCACTTTGGGAGGCCAAGGTGGGCGGATCACCTGAGGTCAGGAGTTCAAGACCAGCCTGGCCGACATGGTGAACTCCCCATCTCTAATAAAAATACAAAGTTAGCCCCGCGTAGTGGCTCCTATCTGTAATCCCAGCTACTTGGGAAGCTGAGACAGGAGAATTGCTTGAACCTGGGAGGCAGACTTTGCATTAAGCCGAGATCGAGCCACTGCACTCCAGCCTGGGCAACAAGAGCAAAACTCTGCCCCAATAAATAAATATATAAAATAAAAAATAAATAAAAGGCTGGTCACAGTGGCCTGTAATCCCAGCACTTTCAGAGGCTGAGACGGGCAGATCATCTGAGGTTAGGAGTTCAAGACCAGCCTGGCCAACATGGTGAAACCCCATCTCTACGAAAAATACAAAAATTAGCCAGGTGTGGTGGTGCGCGCCTATAATCCCAGCTACTCGGGAGGCTGAGGCAGGAGGAACGCTTGAAGCCAGGAGGTGGAGGTTGCAGTGAGCTGAGACTGAGCCATTGCACAACAGCCTGGGGGACAAGAACAAGACTCCGTCTCAAAAATAAATAAACAAATAAACTAATAAAAATAAATAAATTAAAAAATTTAAGAAATAGCTGGGCACGGTGGAGCATGCCTGTATTCCCAGCTACTCAGGTGGCTGAGGCAGGGGAATCACTTTTACCCAGGAGACAGAGGTTGCAGTGGGCTGAGATCACGCCATTGCACTCCAGCCTGGGTGACAGAGTGAGACGCTATCTCAAAAAAAAAAAAGATAATTTCAAACACCAAGGCCGAGAAGGGAAGAGAAAGGAGGGAACGTTGCAAAGGGTGACGTTAGCTGGCGGGCCTTTCAGAGGAGGGAACACTGCAGCCAGCCAGGCATGGAGGAGGGAGCTGTCCATGCAGAAAGCGGGTCCCGGGCAAAGGGCACGGCTCTCTGAGGCAGCACTGACGGCAAGATGCCAGCGGGGGTGACCACAGAAGCGTTGTGGGCTGCAGGGAGGAGTGCGATTTTCTTGTGGGAGCACCGAGCAGCCATGGAGGGCGCCTGAGCAGAGCAGGGGTGTGATCCAGACTTTGTAAACGCCCTCGTGTCTGCTCTGGGGATCATGCTGTTGGGGGCAGGAATGAAGGCAGCGGGAGGCCCGTAAGGGGCTGGGACAGTGTCTGGGAGGGGGACATTGAAGCTATGGAGAAGTGGCTGGATTGGGGACTTCTTTGGAGACCAGGGGAAAGGCGGGGTCAGAGATGGTCACGAGGCTCCAAATGGTCACCTGTGATTCCCAGGTATGCAGCTCGAGCCTCATTTGGGGAACAGATTCGCCGCAGTCTGGGGACCCAAGTGGGGATGGGGCCACAGTCTCCACTTGCTGTCACTACATGCTGAGCCACCCCATATGCATGGGACACACCTTTGCACACACTCAGTAAAGGTGCTGGCCCCTCGTCCCCAGCCACAGCTACACCCAATAACACCTACACACCCCCTATTACATATGCCCACTGCCCTGACATCTATAGCAGGCAGAGACCTTCTCCCATGCTCATTTGGCCTCAGTTTCTCCCTCTGCAAAACAGGGCTGCAGCTGACAATCCAGAGAGCCTGCTGCCACAGCGAAGGCCTTCCATGAAAGTGGCTGAGCCACTGAACTCTGGTGTCAGCCCACTGCTCCCCAGATCCTGCCCTTCCCCTGCTCACACACCCTCCATGGCTCCCTATTGCTCTTATAGCAAAACTGCATTCCTGCCGGGTGCGGTGGCTCATGCCTGTAATCCCAGCACTTTGGGAGGCCATGGCGGGTGGATCACAAGGTCAAGAGATCGAGACCATCCTGACCAACATGGTGAAATCCCGTCTCTACTAAAAATACAAAAATTAGCCAGGTGTGGTGACGTGCACCTGTAGTCCCAGCTACTTGGGAGGCTGAGGCAGGAGAATCGCTCGAACCTGGGAGGCGGAGGTTGTGGTGAACCGAGATCATGCCACGACAGAGTGAGACTCCAACTCATCAAACAAACAAACCAAACCAAACTGCATTCCTGGGCGAATCCTTCTCCCAGGAGCTCAGATCCTAGCCCTGTCCCTGACAAACTCTGTGACATTCGCATTGGACTCTCCCTGCCTGTGCTGTGACATCTGCTGTCTCAGGTAGATGTCCAGACACCCCCGCCCCTTTGTAGTCTGACTACCCCAGCACTTCCCACCTGCCCACACATCTTCCTCACCCCTCCCAGCCCCACACTCTCTATGGCTTCCAGTGTTCTAGGTAGAAAATCCATCTTCTTCCTGCCTTTGGCATCTGAGGCTCCAGAAGGAATGTGCCTCTGTTCCAGGCAGGAACAGGCACTTTGTCTATGGGAGCCCAACTCGGCTGGGCGCGGAGGCTCACGCCTGTAATCCCAGCACTTGGGGAGGCCGAGGCGGGCAGATCACCTGAGGTTGGGAGTTCGAGACCAACCTGACCAATATGGAGAAACCCTGTCTCTACTAAAATTACAAAATAAGCCGGCTGAGGCAGGAGAATCACTTGAACCTGGGAGGCAGAGGTGTTGGTGAGCCAAGATCACACGATGGCACTCCAGCCTGGGCAACAAGAGCAAAAATCCATCTCAAAAAAAAAAAAAAAAAAGCCCAACTCATGGCCCCACTGCCACCACCACTACGACCACCACGAGAGCCCTCCCAGGTACTGCCCATTCATCTAAGCCACATGCATTAACTGAGCACCTGCTGTATACACCCTGGGTCTGCCCTGAAGCTACAACATGACCAGGCAGATCAGATCTGGTCCCAGATAGGCTGTCAAACCTCTGGATAAGAAAAGTAACAGGATAATCACACAAGACAATGTGGAAATCAAACCTCTGGGGCTGGCTGGGTGCTGTGGCTCACGTCTATAACCCCAGCACTTTGGGAGGCCGAGGCAGGAGGATCGCTTGAGGTCAGGAGTCTGAGACCAGCCCTGCCTCCACTAAAAATACAAAAATTAGCCAGGCACAGTTGTGGGCACCCATAATTCCAGCTACTCAGGAGGCTGAGGCAGGAGAATTACTTGAACCAGGAGGCGGAGGTTACAGTGAAATGACGTATCGTGCTACTGCACTCCAGCCTGGGCAACAGAGTGAGACTGTCTCATTAAAAAAAAAAAAAGGCCGGGCGCGGTGGCTCAAGCCTGTAATCCCAGCACTTTGGGAGGCCGAGGCGGGTGGATCACGAGGTC